ATTCTTTTCTTTTTTGTGTGTGAATTCCTTCTTTTATTCTTCCTTTTCGTCTCTTCATTCATTCGACCTAATTTATTTTTTTTTTTCTTTTGTTCGCCTGTTTCTTTTTTTTCACGTTTTTTTTTTTAAATTCTACATTTTTTCCTTCACTTTCCATTATTTTTCTTATTCTTGGTTTCTTTCATTTTCCTATTTTATTTCTTTTTGTTTACTCTTTTCTTGTTTTCTTAATTTTCTTGTTTTTTTCCTTTTATTTATTTATTTATTTTTTGCCTCCATTTTCCTCTTTTCTTTCTTTTTTTCTTGTCGTTTTCTTTATTTTATTGTTTTATTTTCCTTTTATTTTCTTTCTCGTCTCCATTTTCTTTCCTTCTTTCACGCAAATAAGCAGATAGAGTCATAACGAAAAGAAAATAAGAAATGATAGAAATGGCGTCCCAGTTTGGAAAGCGCAAAGAAAGACAACAGATGACAAATGCTTCTCTGAATTTTTTGTATGACAGATTTTATGGATACAAACTAATGCATTATTTTGTGCGTTCAAGCATTCTGTTCTTTCTTTACCCCAAAGCACACAACCCTGTCTCGTATCCATACACACGTCTTCGCCCAGCATCGACTACGGAATGATGGTTAGTCAGGCGCATGCGTTTGGTAACTATCTTAAAGTTATATTTAACTACACATGCGTACATGTTGCCAGTTGCCACATTTTGGGGGACGATCAATTCTTCAGCTCAAGAGTATATGACGATCTATAATGGAAAGAGAGTGACAATAACAAAAGTAAAAAACAACAACAAAACAAAACAAAAAAAACAACAAATGAATGAATGAGATCAATAGTCCGAACAACTCCTGGAATGATAATGACTCATCTCAAAATTATTGAAGGCTCTAAAATGGATCGGTCGAAGAGTCGTGGTAACAACATGCATGATAATGACTCACTCCAAACGTAAAGAATAATAGTAGTAAGGTTCGCTTATCGCCCGGTTCACGCACTTCCTCAGTGTTTTGAAGAAAAGTAGATGTTTATTCCTTGCTTCCTGTTTAGGAATAGGTTTCCGGTTCCTTCTAAAGTCTACTTCAATCTATACTTCTAACGTCACCGTCTAAACTCTTGGAATTTAATTGACTAATTATTTATTTTTTTTATTTCTTCTCAATAGCAATATATGTGTTCGCCTATCGTACAGTTCTCAATCCTCTCCAGTTTTTTTTTTTTTTTTTTTTGAACAGGGGTAGACGTTTATCCTTTGTTACTTTTTAGAATCGGGTTTCCAGTTCATTCTAAAAAATTTTCATTCAATTTCACTCCCAGTGGCCCTTTCTAAATTCTGAAACAAAATTATCCATTTCTATACCCTTCCTTAATATTCTACCTCTCTACCCTGCCATTTTCCCATTCTATACTTTTTTTCTCTTCTCTTTTTACAACTTCCCTTCCCGTTATCCCTCACTTTCTCTACTGCCTCTCTCTACCACTACCCTCTTACTAATTGTTAACCCTGTCTCTCCCGAATTTTCTCTTTAGAAAAATAAAAGTTAGCGAAAATTCGTAATTTTTTTTAACTAGGAATTTATCTTATCTGTCTAACAAGCTAGCTACAGACAGAGGGACAAGTCCGGCTTAAATTGGCCCAGGAAAAAAGAAAGAAAGCAATAAGTGGTTGGATACTAAGAAAAGAAAGAAAGAAAGAAAGAAAGAAAGAAAGAAAGAAAGAAAGAAAGCTTACAGACAGTGGTCCTGACTGGTTGCATGTTTCCGTGTTTACCACCTAAACAAGTGTTCGATCCTAGATAAAAGGCAGAATATAGGTTACAGAATGCTGATTTTCAAGATAGGTTAGCCTTTCTCACATAGAATATTTACTTAACATGAACTTCCTACGCCATTTCTCTTTGTTTGGCTCCATGTCATACGAAGCTTGCCATAGAAAATATTTCTCAGAGACAGGGAGGGCTTTATATAGTGGCTGTCTAAAAAGAGTTTAACAACAGTTTTCTAGGATATAATTATAATTTTACCAAAAAAACATAGCGATAAAAGCAACTAAGATGCTATATGAAAGAAACGTCGAGGATAATAAAAGAAGAATTTTCAAGGAGACAGGTGATGATAATGGTGATTGGCATTACATTTAAACATTTGAAGATTGTAGTTGACAGGAAGGCAGGAAACCGAAAGAAAGTTCCACAAACTAGAAGTAAGGGAGAAAAAAACTATTAGCATAGAACTTACGGTTGCAACTAACAAATTGTACAGTTAAATTATGAAATATAGTTACCAATCTAATAATTCGCTTAAATGCGTGAAATCGAGGTATCAGAGAGGAAAATGAAAATATTTATAGGAAAGACGGTGGAAAAGAAGCTGAAGCCGAGATGTTAGATCAGAACCGATAATGTTGCAGATTCGCCTTTAGATTTTGTCAATAATCTCTACTTACATACCAAAAGTGCCAAACCAAATGTGGCAGTGATATTTAATGTATGGACGTGTAGAGGACCATGTGGGTTTGAGTGTTGTTGAATTAGGAATAAGTGCTGTTTATTCCTGCTAGAAGAAGGTTCAACTACAAGAACATGGCGGACTCAAGTTGAGTCTAACCGAAGAGGGAAAGAAAACAAACAAGACCGATATAAATATATGCATTAAACGACAAAATTTACAAGTGACAAAGAAATTAACATTTGCGTTTGTGTGTGAACGTAAAGATTTTGTATTTTGGTGAATGTTTGTACGTACGTGTATGTGTGTATAATGTTCATGTCGTCTTCCCACAAGTGGGCAAAACGCAGATTTCTACGAGAGATCACATTTTTAAATGTGTCCGCTGAAATGCAAAGTGAAAAAGAGAACGAAGCAAGAAGTCGCCCAGTATTTATAGTGTAGGGAGAACGACCCCTAGTGAACAATTAGGAAATTAAGGAGGAGCTAACTCCGACAGACTAATGGTAGACATATAAATGTGCACGATAGATTATGGTGAGAAACATTATCTAGCACGACACAGTGAACCGACTTTCCCAGTAGCAGACTTAGCAATTGATTGAATATATATATAAGCGTTCCACTTCATGTCAATGGAAAACATGAAGCCAAGAAGATGTAATGAGTTGCTCTCCTGAAGGTTAGCATCAGCCATATGCTGATGGAGGGCAAAATAGGTTCCTAATGATGATCGATAGATAGTAGTTTCATTTTGGAGGCGTTGAAATAAGACTCAACAGATTTTAGACAAGAGATATGCGAGTATTAGTCATCCCATTTCGGAGTTCAGCCCTAAACTACGTTCTTCGTTATATAAAGAGAAGGATGATCTTAAAGCAAAATCTTATGATAAAAAAAATACATATTATACGGGCGGTGAGGGGGATTAAGGTATATTTGAAATTATCAGTCAGTGTAAAAATATGAATGGGATGTTTATAATTAGAATTAATATACGTTTGGCAAGAAATTATAAAGAGAAAATGAAATCAATGCCGGAATCCAAGATTCTCTGGACGTTTCCACTGGATGCGTTTGTATGTGCTTGTGTTGTTGTTTATGCGTGTGAGCGACAACAGATCTCTCAAATTGAAATCTCTCGAAATGCCGTTATTTTTGGAAAGAAAGAAAAAAGAAAGAAAGAAAGAAAGAAACTGCAGAGCCTCTAAATAATGAGAAGAACCATCAAAACTAAGTCAAGAGTCTTTCGATGTGAAGTAATGGTTAATGCGCCAATCTGTCTGGTTACCCATTACTACTGAATAGTGAGTTCGATCCTTAGAGTATCCCGGCATGGAGTCAGGCTAAGCTACACTTGGTGAATAATGAAAAAAGAGCTTTCGAGTTGTTTCCGTTTAGAGTCAGGCCTTTAATCTAAAACCGAAATGGCATAACAAAACTTGAAAACACAAAAAAAGATTCCAAATTTAACACATCATTTTTTTAAGGAGAAAAAAATCGAAAAGGTTTTACCAAAGGGTGTGTTAAAAAGACCATAAAAAAGAATGGAAAAAGAAAGAAAGAAAACAGTAAAAAGTGTTACAATGCAGTGCGTTACAAAGGATGAAAAGAAAGTAAGAAAGTGAAAAGGAGAAATGAAAAAAAAATAGTCTTACAAAGGAGTAGGTTACAAAAGAGGAAATGGAATGAAAGAAAGAAAAAGAAAAAGAAAAAGAAAGAAAGAAAGAAAGAATGGAAGAAGGAGTAATAAAAAAAACAAAATAAGTGTTACAATGGATTGCCTTACAAAAGTTGAAATGTAAAGAAATAAGAAAGAAAGAATGGAAAGGGGGAGGGGAGAAAAAAGAAAATAAAGATTGTCACAAAGTAGTGCGTTACAAAATTTGAAATGTAAAGAAAGAAAAAAGAATGGAAAAGGGAGGAATGACGAAAGAAAATAAAAAGTATGACAATGCAGTGCGTAACAAAAGATGAAATTTAAAGAAAGAAAGAAGGAAAGAATGAAAAAAGAAGGAATGAAAAAAGAAAATAAAAGTGTTACAAAGTAGTGCGTTACAAAATTTGAAATGTAAATGTAAAGAAAGAAAATAGGAATGGAAGAAGGAAGCATGAAAAAAGAAAAAAGTGTTACAATGCAGTACTTTACAAAAGATGAAATGTATAGAAAGAAAGAAAGAAAGAAAGAAAGAAAGAAAGAAAGAAAGAAAGAATGGAAAAAGAAACGAAGAAAGAAAATAAAACGTGTTACAATTCGTAATAACAGATGAATTGGAAAGAAAGAAAGAAAGAAAGAAAGAAAGAAAGAAAGAAAGAAAGAAAAGAAAGAAAAAAGTCAAAAGGATGAATTAAGAAACAAAATAAAGGTGTTACTCACGAGTGCGTTACAAGAGATGTATTGTACAGAAAGGAAGGAAGAAAAAAGTGATACAATGGAGTGCCTTACAAAAGATGAAATGTAAAGAAAGAAAGAATGAAGGTAAAAAGATAGAATGGGAAAAGGGGGAATGAAGAAAGAAATTAAAGATTGTTACAAAGTAGTGCGTTACAAAATAGGAAATGTAAAGAAAGAAAGAAAGAAAGAAAGAAAGAATGGAAAAGGGAGGAATGAAGAAAAAATAAAAGTGTTACAAAGGACTGCGTTACAAATGCTGAAATGTAAAGAGATGTAAAATGTTACAAAATAGTGCGTTACAAAAGATGAAATGTAAAGAAAGAAAGAGAGAAAGAAAGAAAGAATTGAAAAACGGGGAAAGAAAGAAAAAAGTGTCACAATAGAGTGTGTAATAAATGATGAAATGGAAAGAAAGAAAGAAAGAAAGAAAGAAAGAAAGAAGTGGTGATAAACGAGTTTCTTAAATAGAAAAAGGTTATAAGAAAGAATGGGTAAAAGCTGAATAAAGAAAGAAAATAAAGGGTTACAAAAGAGTGCATTACAAAAGAGGAAGTGGAAAAGAAAGAATAAAAGATAATAGTGGAAAAAAGAGAAAGGTGATAAAAGGTTGTTAGAAAAGATGAAACGTAATAGAAAGAAAGGCAGAAAACGAAAATAAAAGGCTGAATATAAGAATGAATTAACGTATGACAGAAAACAAAAAGCCTAAGGAAAATGAGATTTTGATTAAAAAAAAAAACATCTGTCTTTTTATGAAGGAATTTTAGTGAATAGCAGAGAAAGTGGCATCATATTACAATTACGATGTCTCACTGTCGTTCGCAGTAAGCAAAGTTAATCTTCGTTTGGTTGAAATGAGAAACCGACAAGAAAATCAAGTCTTATTGCGTTTCGTGGTTAAGGCATGAAAAAGCTCCAAATAAACAAATAAAACCCGTCTCTTCGAAAATATAGAGAGGTACTAATTTATGAAGTTCAAATACGGACATTCTAGGGTTCATTCAGAACCTTAAAACATCAGAGAAAACATTCACCCTACCCCACGATAAGCTTAAAAACAGAGAAAACAGTGATTTGTTACTGCTACCTGAGTAGATTTATCTTCTTTCCACAAATACTGGGATGATATAGTGAGGTAGAGAATATAAGTAAAAAATAGTTATATTTTTCTGTCCGTCAAGTATCGTGGCTCTGTCCGTCAGCTATCGTGGCATGCTAGTAACGAGATTTTTTTCTGGAGCTGGGAGAGTAGCATCGAAAACCTATTACCTATAGTCAACCATAATAGTATTGAATTTCGAACATACATAGTAACCTTGATAGTTTTCAGTTTGAAATATACATAGATGTAACTTTTAATTATTGCAATTTTAATTTATTACAATAAACGTTATTTCTCGTCAGTTACGTATTTGAGTGACATTCTTGATTTTCTTCTTTTTTCTTCTTCTTAAACACTGAAATTAATATCAACCGACCTAGACCTTCTTGAAAAGAATCGAACATGTACTCCCTTTTTGAATCAAGGAAATAAGTTCTTTAGCCAAAGTGTGGCCTACCAGTTAGTCCATAAAAAATTGGACTGGTGCATTTCAGTTAAAGAAATGGTTTCTTTTATGGAAAAAAGAGAATGCAGGTTAGATTCTTTTTGGGAAGCACATTTTTCTTTAGTAGGACTTCTCGATCTAGATTGACTGACATTAAGTTCAGACTAAAGTCTACGGTCAAACCACGCTGAAAACACCGGTTCTCGTTCGATCAACGTAGTTGAGTTTGGTCATTACTTAGATGGGGAACCGCTTAGGGAAACTGGGAGCAGTAAGCAACTTCCTACAAATCGAAATAAGTTTCGGCTTTAAATAACCTCCAAAGGGTTGATAAACCGTAAAAAAAACAAATCATTAATATCACTCACTGTGTATAAATAGCAGAAATTTCAACGTTTCATTTCAAACTCCTGTTTCGTAGGTGTACCCACAAAAATAATGTTTAATACATATATATTTCTTGAAACATTATTTTTATTGGATTTAGTGTTTGAAATAAACGCTCCAAAAAGTGTGCATTACGACTACCAGCCTGCGCACTTTGTATATGCTTTCATTCATTCTCGGAAATACCAAAGGAAACTGCAATCCTCTCCATGGTTCACATTAGCATGCACGGTCGCTATAGCACACAGGAACCACTATTTCCGGCTATACCAACATGACAGCTCTCGTCATAACAGTTGCCTATTTGCTGCAAATCATAATAAATGTGAGTCCTCAAAGGAGCTTGTTACGTGTTGATAATTGTAACAAAGGAGAAAAAAATGATTTACCACAACACAGAGCTAAATCACAAGCAAATATTTAATTTACTAAAACAGAACATAAAATATATGCAAGATAAACAATTGTGGCCTACAAAACAGAAAACAGAGTTACTGGCGAAGTGTTACGAGGGAGAAGGAAAGGGAGTCAAATATCTTTCTTTATCACTTTAGGGCTAGTGAAGTAATCTAAGTGCTATATTTGGAAATCCACAAAGGTGTATAAATAAATATTAATTTTTAGTTTGGTCAATGAAAATTAGTCAAAATTCTATTTACCAAATTTGTTCCATGAAATTCTCTTTTGGGTTTTGGTTGGTCGGCAACTTTTTATAGAGATTCTTTCGGCTGGATATAATAGTCCTTGAATCAAAAGCCGGAGTTAATAACAGCAGAAATTCCTTTTCATCAACTAAGTACCCTTTTCCAAAATCCCATTTTTATAGGGGCTAACACCTAATTTGCATATTTCTAGATGTTTCTCGAATCATCTAAATTTTTCTCGAATATACTAGAATGATCTAGAATCTTCCAAACATTCTATTTCTAATTTCTCTATTTTACAACTACTTCATGAATGAAAACTTTTTTGTAATAACAAGTAGAACTCAGTGGAATCCCTTATTATAGAAATGCATCCTCGTAACAAGCTAAGTCCCTGTTTGCTGAGATAATGAGACACAGCATAGCCTCTAAAAACCTTGACCCTCGTGATTACTGGCATCTCTGTAATAGGGTACTAAATAAGTGCAAGATCTCTATTCCCCACTCTTCAGTCGATTTGAGCAGTTATCATCCTCTGCTGACAAAGATGAATGTTTTGACCGTAAATTCTCCTCAAATTCTACTCTTGACTCGTCTGGAGTATCCCTGCCTAACTTCCCACTCAAAACTGATTCTCTGTTGAGTGATAGGCATATAACCGTTTCCATGGTTTCTGCTATCATCTCTAGCCTTGATCCCCACAAAGCATGTAAACCCGATGGTATACCTGTAATAGTGATTAAGAAGTGTGCTCCCGAACTGGCTCCTGTTCTCTCTAGACTGTATAATAAATGCCTCGCCGCCTCCCGCTTTCCTGCAAGCTGGAATTCATCGTCTGTTGTTCCAGTTTTTAAGACCTAAACTTCTCTCCATTTGAGAGACTCCTCTCTGCCTTACAACAACATGGCTGATGCTTCCTCTCCCCAGGGAAGTGACTCATTGTGCCTGCTCGTTCTCAGCTAGAATGAAGTACAAATACTATATTGAATCCATTGCTAGGTCAGCTGCTAAGAAAGTCGGTTCACTGTGTCAGACGAGATATTTTTTCTCTCCGGAATCTATCTTGCATATCTATAAGACTACCATTCGTCCATACTTAGAATATTGCTGCCATATATGGTCCGGTGCCCCTGCGATTTACCTGGAGCTCCTTGATAGGATTAAAAAAAGAATCAGTAATATTATAGGTTATGATCTGGGGGCTCGGCTTCAGTCACTTGCCCACCACCATAAGGTTGCTTTTCTGTGCCCATTTATATATATATATATATATATATATATATATATACAGCCACTAACACGCAAGGGGTTATAGGATGTGGGGGAATTAAGAACAGAAACATTAGTAATGAGGAAAAAGCAATCAAGAGGATATTAGATAGCGATTGACATTGCATTTACATTTTTGCAGATTAAAGTTGGTTGGAAACCATGAAACCGGAAAGGAGCGCATAAATGATTACCCACAATGCTTCATTGATCCATATATATAAATAGTCGAGAAAAAATCCAAATCTCGTGGCCTGACGATTGCGTCTAGCATGAAACAGCCTGTTGCCTCAGAATGTTGACTTCAATGTTCATTTTTATATTTATATTTACATACGCTCTATCTCTGATATTTATCACTTTATCCCATAAATATAACACACCTTAAAACTATATTTCTTCATATATATATATATATATATGTGTGTGTGTGTGTGTGCGTGTGTGTGTAAAGTTGTATTCGTTTGTAAAAATTCATCCAAACAAGATTTATAGAATTTAGCCGACACGACCGGTCAGTTTAGTGAGAGAGAGAGATAGAGAGAGAGAGAGAGAGAGAGAGAGAGAGAGAGAAGAGATGAAATTGACACTCACTATGCAGTGTTGATTCCTATGTCTACGCTGGTTATATCTATAATGCTCCATCACCGATATTTAAATCTCTTTACTGATAATATATACCCAATGTTAAACTATCATATATATATATATATATATATATATATATATATATATATATATATATATAAATATATATGATATATTAAAAAAAACTTTTTTTAAATATACATTTTTCTCTCATTGTAGAAACTATAACCTTTTCAATAATATATATATATATATATATATATATATATATATATATATATATGAGCTCCCTGTCCCAACTATTTTTATCTCTCCAGCCTTTGAGAAAATGTATAATGAACACCTCTGAGAAAGAAGATGGCGATAGGTTAATAAGGAAACAAATCTATTGAAGTGAAGGCGGAACTGAAGCAGTTGAAGTGGAAATAATATGGCGGTATTCACTTCAAACGATAAAAAAAAAGCGCTGACGCCTCTATTCATCTGAACTTTCAGTTTGCTCCTGATGGATTCTGTCGTGTCGACTAATCAAATTTAGGAGCTTCTCAAAGTAACAGATGATAATGTTATCAAGTTGTATCGTGCACATATAAAAACAAAATTGGAACTACTTAAATAGACTGGTCCACTCGTAAAATTAAGGATTTAATTTTTTTCTTTTCTATATTATCATTCATTTGACCTTCTTCAAGGCGCGACATTTGTGAAAATCGAAAAATATTGATCTTTCACCAAACTTGGACTTTACTGCCCGCAAAAAAAAAAGGAAGTGTCAAAAAGACGGTTTTTCCATTGACGCCGTGTTTACTACCTTCACTCCTCGCGAATGTTTATTGTTTTAAAAAGTGATGATTAAAGTTTTAATGAAACCTAAATATCTGACGAAAGTGAATTTATATATTTTTTTCTTCTTGAGGATTTACAACAAAATATTAAACACTATTTATTTATTAGATTGTTTATTTACAAGAATAATTTTATATTTACAACATTCTAAAACTTAATACACTTAAAAATAATGCAATGCAATATTTATCTTTTACTAATTTATAAAAAAACAAATATGAAAACAATTTTTTTCATAATTTTATAAACATTTACTAAATTATTAAAATCAACTATAAGGAAATCCTTATTTACCTTTTTATAAAGTTCGAATTGATTGACAATTAGTCGATGTTTTCCAACCATTCCAATAAAGAATATAATAAACAAATAGTGTTTATTATTTTTGTTGTCAGTTCTGAAGTACAATCAAAATGTATAAATTCACTTTCGTGTTTTGTTCTTATTACAATTCTAATCATCGCTTTCTAAAACAATAAATTTTGCGGAGGGAGTAAAGGTAGTTAAAATAATAGCGGTGTCAATTGAAAAAAAAAGCATCATTTCGATCAGCTCGAAAGTTTTGGTTTCTCAATCTTTTATCATTTTATAAGATCGACACTGTTCATATTCTTGATACACTGTAAATTCAGTTCCTGTTGTATTACAAAGTTAGACTTAGCTATTCTGCATACGAAAAGAGGTATATATTTTTTATTTTTACACAAATATTTCTTTTAATTAAAGATTACATGGATATAATTAAGGAAAAAACATTTACATGAATTAATCAAGGCATATATATCCATTTATTCTTCATTTACGATAGATAATTATTACTGCCAATTTTTGTGCATGTGCTTCCGAACTTCCCCACCAAAAAGAAAACGTGTTTTTAAAATAAAATTTTAAAAACCCGTTTTCTTTTTGGTGGGGAAATTTAAAAAATTCAAAACATTATTTAAAACAATATGCGTATATTAATGACATAAATACGGTTATAAACCTGATATTTATAAATAACATCTACGTCCAATAATTGTGTAAAAAGTCAGGTATCGATTCTAAACTATATCGATATTTATGAACAGGTTCCCCTTCTAACAAAAAATATTTTTCGATTCTGAAAAAACATCGCACCTTGAGAAATGTTTAATGAGTGTTAATCTACAAAAATTATTACGCGAAAAAAAAATTAGGTCTAAGGTGTGGCAAAATGTTTATTTCTTTGTTTGCCTGTGCCATAATGCAAATGTACGCCTGAGTCATTCACTGGTTCTAATTTATAGCTCATCTGAGTTAAAGTAGCATTTTTTTTCTCTCTTTTTGGTTATTTTTAGTTTGCCTAACTACATACTATCCAATACGATCCAATAATGATTTCCTGTTCGCTAAAGCGTTGAATGTGCTAACGAACGATAACAGTGGAATGTCGTTTCAACCAAATAGTCTCGACGCAGTTGTTCTATGATTCAATTGTAGAATCACGATTAGGAAAGTTATCTTGGAAAATTTGATACTCCAGGACAAATAGAAAACAAAAGAGATAGGAGAAAATTTAGGAGATATAACAAAAAAAAAATTAATGATCCCAAGGGCCCTAACGAGCATGGGTAAATGGATGGCAGAACAGGATTTAGGAGATATAACAAAAAAAAAAAAAATTAATAAGAACTACAAAGGACAGGAAATTGTGGAGGGCCATAATGGCCAACGTCATGAAGAACTACGACATATAGGAGAAGAATGACCTTGAGTAAATGGATGACAGAAAAGGTTTTAGGAGAGATAAAAAAGACAAAATTTATTAAGAGCTACAAAGGAGAGGAAATTGTGGAGGACCATGATCGCCAACGTCCTGAAGAACTACGACACATAAATGGGAGAAAAATGAGCTTGAGTAAATGGATGACAGAAAAGGGTTTAGGAGAGATAACAAAAAGACAAAATTTATTAAGAACTACAAAGGACAGGAAATTGTGGAGGACCATGATCGCCAACGTCCTGAAGAACTACGACACATAGGAGAAAAATGAGCTTGAGTAAATGGATGACAGAAAAGGGTTTAGGAGAGATAACAAAAAGACAAAATTTATTAAGAACTACAAAGGAGAGGAAATTGTGGAGGACCATGATCGCCAACGTCCTGAAGAACTACGACACTAGGAGATGGAGCATAAAAAATGAGATAACAAAAGCAAAATTTATTTGAGTAAATGGATGACAGAAAAGGGTTTAACAAAAAGACAAAATGGATAGAACATAACATAGAATAACAAAAAAGACAAAATTTATTAAGAACTACAAAGGAGAGGAAATTGTGGAGAGCCATGATTGCCAACGTCCTGAAGGGCTACGGAACATAGAAGTAGAAAAATGAGCTTGAGTAAATGGATGACAAAAAAAGGCTTTAGGAGAGATAACAAAAAGACAAAATTTATTAAGAACTACAAAGGACAGGAAATTGTGGAGGACCATGATCGGAAACGTCCGAACACAGAAGAAGAAGAACTTGAGTAAATGGATGACAGAAAAGGGTTTAGGAGATAACATAAGAACTACAAAGGAGAAAAAATGATCGCCAACGTCCTTGAGTAAATGGATGACATGAGTAAATGGATGACAGAAAAGGGTTTAGGAGACATAACAAAAAGACAAAATTTATTAAAGAAAAGGAGTAAATGGATGAGGAATTGTGGAGGACCATGATCGATCCAACGTCCTGAAGAACTACGACACATAGGAGAAAAAATGAGAAATTTGAGTAAATGGATGACAGAAAAGGGTTTAGGAGAGATAACAAAAAGACAAAATTTATTAAGAACTTGAGTAAATGGATGACAGAAAAAGGGAGATAACAAAAAGACAAAAATTAAGAACTGGAGGACCATGATCGCCAACGTCCTGAAGAACTACGACACATAGGAGAAAAATGAGCTTGAGTAAATGGATGACAGAAAAGGGTTTAGGAGAGATAACAAAAAGACAAAATTTATTAAGAACTACAAAGGACAGGAAATTGTGGAGGACCATGATCGCCAACGTCCTGAAGAACTACGACACATAAGAGAAGAATGAGCATGAGTAAATGGATGACAGAAAAGGGTTTAGGAGAGATAACAAAAAGACAAAATTTATTAAGAACTACAAAGGACAGTAAATTGTGGAGAGCCATGATTGCCAACGTCCTGAAGGGCTACGGAACATAGAAGTAGAAAAATGAGCTTGAGTAAATGGATACAAAGGACGGGAAAAGACCAGAACGTCCTGAAAACTGAGTTTAGGAGAGATAACAAAAAAGACAAAAAAAAGGTCCTTTAGGAGAGATAACGAGTAAATGGATGATGAAAAAAAAGACAAAATTTATGAAGTAAAAGAACTAAGAACAAAGGACAGTAAATTGTGGAGAGCCATGAAGAACTACGACACATAGGAGAGAAAAATGAGCTTGAGTAAATGGATGACAAAAAAGGGTTTGAAGGACAAAATTTATTAAGAACTACAGGAAAGGAGGACCATGATCGCCAACGTCCTGGAACATAAAAACGTCCTGAAGAACTGGAACATAGAAAAATGAGCTTGAGTAAATGGATGACAAAAAAAGGCTTTAGGAGAGATAACAAAAAGACAAAATTTATTAAGAACTACAAAGGACAGGAAATTGTGGAGGACCATGATCGCCAACGTCCTGAAGAACTACGACACATAGGAGAAAAATGAGCTTGAGTAAATGGATGACAGAAGAGGGTTTAGGAGAGATAACAAAAAGACAAAATGTATTAAGAGCTACAAAGGACAGGAAATTGTGGAGGGCCATGATTGCCAACGTTCTGAACGGAAATGGTACATAGAAGAAGAAGAAAAAAAAAACACGGTTGTTGTCGATGAGTGTTGTGTAAGTCAATCAATGTTTCATTCTTTATCAACAATGTCCTCTTATAGCATTGTTCTTTTATAATAGTATACACAGTTTAGCCAAAAGGAAGTGTAATTTTCATACGAAGCTCTTTACCAGTTCCCTACCATCACCACAATCATCGAACTGAAATGAGAAATTCTTCTACATATATTCCCCCAAACCTGTCATCTAACGACCATTTGATTTATTCCATGCACCAAAGAAAAATGTTCAAAATATTAAAGAATATCTCGAATCAAAGCCACAACTGTTCTCTT